TCTTTATAAAATACAATTACCACGACAAAAAAGCTGGGAAAAGTTCGACTGGGGCGTTAAGGGGTGTTTGTAATTGTTGTACAGGCAAAGAATGTAATCCACAGGATAGACAAGATAATACGCTTATCCCATGGTGTCTACCTCACACAGGAAATCGTCACAATCATTGGTCAGGCCTCTACGGTAGAATAGAGTGGGATGGTTTTTTTAGTACTACTATTACTAATCCTGAACCTATGGGTAAACAGGTAAGAATATAAAGAGCATTCGTTTGATAAATAAAACATTAATATCAAATAATCTAGCTGCTTAAGATTGATTATGAAATGGATAATAAATAAAATTTGTATGAAAGGGCCGAGTTCTTCATCCCGATCAAACGAGAGTCGTAAGTGTGCGCGAATGTGCCAGATCTCAAGGCTTTCGAGATAGTTTCCGATTTTACGGAAATATACAAGACAAACATAGACAAGTTGGCAATGCTGTACCTCCACCGCTAGCCGCAGCGATCGGCATGGAAATAAGAAAAAGTATTAGTGTAGCGGAATCTAGAATGAAAAAAGAGAAAAGCTGAGCTACCGAGTTAATTTATATTGGCAAATGTAAATCATCTGTTATATTGTATTCTTTATATATATATATATATTATTTCATTGAGTTAATTTAGGTTTATAAAATAGAATCGACACGCCCTTTTAGTATATTTTAAGTTTTTATTCAAATAATTTATTTTTTTTTTTTTTAATTTTAAAACATATTTACTACGTAACTTTTATTATCTTTTATTCGTTATAGTTTGTAACAAACACAAAATTTTAAATATAATTTACTATGTAACGAAATCTTCTATTTTTAAGTATTACATTTCATTTAAGAAGCTGTTAAATTTAAAGTCCACTTTGTATTTAATTTTCAATCAATATTTTAATGTTTGAAGACTTGTTAGTAACATAAATATTACATAAAATAAAAATAAAAAGTATAAACGATATTTGATTACAAATTTATACATTATGTAATTATGATGCGTTAGTTAAATAGTATAAATCATTTTGTAAAGTGCCTTCAACAAACAAAAAAACAAAAAAAAAACAAAAAAAAAATGTACACTGTAATTTATAAGTATGATAATATTAAATTCAATATTTTTTCATTTTTTATAACTTGATAGTTTCTTCCAGAATAAAATTTTGATAGTATATGACTCGGCGGCAGTGCACTACTGATTCAGTACATATTAATATGCAATGGTGTCAATTTGTAACTAAACATTATTTGTCATTTTTATTTTCATTTAGATTTTAAGACTTTTAAACCATATAAATTGAGTAAAATCTAACTATTGGTTGTATTATAAAGGAACGATCTCAACGTCATATAAAAAGATCCTCAAAACAACTTCATGACTAATAATGTAAAATAAGATTGATATAATTTTTTAAATTATTGAAATTATGCTCTATGGAAAAGGCGTTATGCGTTGTATAAAGTATTTATATACAGATTCATATTAATGTTAAGAAGTAAAATTAGAATATAATTATTATAGATAAAAAATCTATTTATGTGTAGTGTGTTTATTTAACGTAGCTATTTTATTATTTAATTTGTATACAATCTAGTATTGCAATTGCATTTGTAAACATTTCACAATGTACAAGTAAGCACGATATAAATTATAAAAAAGCGTTTGGCATGTGCGTGGAACCATTCATTATATTTAACGTTATATTTATACATGTTAGACATAAAGAAATTGTGTTTCTATGTAATAAAGAATACAACTATAACCAAATAAAAAGATTTATCTGTGTAGTTAAATATACTTGCAAATTTGCGCATGTGTGTTTATGTGGCGTGGGGAAAATTATAGTATGACCAAAATCTCATCGGAGGACAATATGAAATAAACTCATATTGCAAAGTCTTATTCGTCTTAACGATATCGTGTGCACTTCCATTATTTCGAATCGTAAAAATTCCCAGAGAATGTCTTATTAACAAAGATAAATTTGACATGTCTCGTTACTTATATATTATTACTATTTTATCAGAGTATTTGCATTGGACTTAGTTTCGACAATTAAGCTCTTTTTTTTTAGCCTGTCATACCTAGTTGTGCGCATATTAAGCGTAATAATGGAATTTTATTATTATGGATCACCGACCATAAATGAAGAAGCAAACCCAACCAGATTGAAAAAATCAATTTCCATTACCATGGCTTCCAATATTAGTCTCGAGATTCTCGATTCTTATCTTTGCCATGACCAATTTAGCAGATTCTCTGTACAATTTTTTTTTTTCTAAAATTTGAAATAATATATCTTTTGTTTTTGCATGCCCATCCAATTGTCGATAATTGTGTGTCGCGATCCCATCGAGTTTTCAAAAAACCGTATAACAGACTTCAATGGCAGACAGACTATTAAGTGTCAGATTCAATCATTATGAATTCGTGATTTTCAAATGTATAGGGACTATAGGACTAGAAAAATATAGTAAATCTCTATCCGAGTGTAACAAAGATCAAATCGCAAGTTGTTCATGCTAATACGTGAAGTAACAATCAATCATACAAAGCTGTAGTTCTTCTTATAAAGAGAAAATGTCATGAATCGTGCAATAAAACAAGTGGTCGAATTATTCTGCCAGTTACAACCTTTTTGACACTTGAATTAATTATCTATGCGAATTCATATTTTCAGATCTTAATAAAATGGAATTAATAATTTATTTCATTGATGTAGTATTGATAACTCTATAGTTTGAAATAATATTTTTACTCGATAACAGTTGCTTTAATTATCGATGCGACGCGATCATTAATTAATTAACGAGATAATCGACAAGTGCAAATATAAAATCAGGCGTAAGTGATAATTACTTACCTAAGGATTGAAAGGAATTACGATTGTATTGGCTGTTCTTTTGTTTGCGAGAATTAATATCTTTCCTGGTACACTATGCAATGTTTATTGCAATTAACAATAATAATATGTAAAACTATGATCTTAGATTTTCGAAATTGTTTTATATTTAGTTATTGCTAATGGGATTGGGATATTATAAATATATATATATATATATATATATATGTATGTATACTTATAGGAGACCAATAGTCTCCAATTTTACTGTGATAATACGGTGGTAGAACAATTTGTTCTAGCAACTTTATTGTTATTGCTCTTATAGGTATTACATCTTATAATGTTTATTATTTATTTTCGAAACACGTTGAAATGCAGACATTCGAACGTACAGTTTCCATTGTTAATTTACCGAAGGTATGAAGGAAAGCTATTATTATTAGATTTTTGTTAAAAGCAAATAAATGAGTATGAAAAATGTTTGCATAACAACTGTATTTAGGCTCATTTTATTTAATTTTTTTCAGCCATGAGATTAAATACGCTTTTCCTTAATTAGCGCGTAGATCGAAACAATAGTTTACGTATTAACGCCACCAAAGTTCCTTAAATTCATTAAATTTATATAAAAAGTTTTAATTGTTAATTCCATGCGTATAAGCGAATTAATTATTCGTTATAACGTTGATATAACACTTTTTGCGCTTCTTATGAAAATTACATTATGCAAACTTATTTAAGATAAAAGTTTCCGCTGTACGTATTCCAATGTATTTGCTTAAAAGTTTCGCTTTTGAGAAAATTTTTCGTCAATTATAATAATGTAGAGGCCATTATTATTGTTAAGACTTACCATATCTGGTTAAATAATCGTCTACGCAGTCGATAGTATTTACTTCTAAAAAGGTTAAGAAATGTATATTGATAAATGGATATGTAATTATGATAGTCGTAATTATATTTCCATTTTGCAAAAAAAAAGAAAAAATTCTAATTACAAATTTAGATTTATTCCAAATATTCAAAAAACATAGGTAGATATTTAAGTAATCCGCTTTAAGAAATGCCATTTAATAACTAATATTTAACGACAAATGTATGGCATCGTAAAATAAACGTTCAGTAATGAAGGTATTTAAATATTATATTTTTAACACCGATTTTACAAAATAAATAGTGAAATAATTACAATTTAATGTATATTTACTTTTATTTAATGATTAATTAATAATAAGTTATAACTATTAATAAACTGATACTGATATAGGGAATATAAACAAATCAGGAATATTATTTTTATTAATAACGTTACTAACTTCAAAAAGTAAATTATGCCAAATTTTCATAAATTAAATAAAAAAAAAGTCTTTGAAAAATAGTTCACCTAAATATGAGTTGAAAGAATAATTTATTGGACTTTTCAAATAAAAATTATACAGAATACGTAATAGCTTTGTAGATATTATTAATCTGTAATTTCAAAGGATTGGTGCTTTAATTATGAAATTAACAAAAGTATTATATCAAATCAAATTTTTCACCTTACACATTATATCCGATAAGAAAGCTATATTTATTTTTTGAATTGATTATATTGAAATTGCGTGTGTTTGCTTTCCCATGTATATTTAATGTGCATTTTCAATACTGAAATTTATCAAATTAAATCTTTATAGTTCATTCATAATTAATTAATTCTAATTTTTTATTTATACGTTATACAACGTAGCTGAAAAGATTAAAAATTCATGAAAAACGTATATGTAAATATCTATCAATTTTGCATATCATTATAATCTATACATTTCAATTTTATATCTCATTTAACAATTAATGAATACACATGTATATATTCAAGCGCATCCACACACACACACACACACACACACATATCCATATATATGTTTTAAAAGCGTTAAAGCTGAAGATATAATTAATCATTAACGACAAAATAATCTATACGAATGTATAGCTGTTGAATTTTTTTATTTCAATAATTTAATCATTGTTAGTGTGTGAATTCAATCTGAACACATACACACACACACGCGCGGGCATATATATATATATATATATATATATATATATATATTTAATTATACATATTTCATTTTGTTTTTAAATATCAATATGCAACAAAATATAATCCTTTACGCTATTCAGTTATATGTAATATTTCGTAAGTTTTTTTATAGATTCTCTAAATTTTTTTTTTAATTTCTCAATAAATTAATACTTAATCGGAATGCTATAGAATTTAAAAATAAATGTAATTTTTTATAACAGTAGTTAATACTATCTTTCTATAACTGTATCAATTTTATTTCATTTGAATTTGACAACTTATTTTATAGATAATCATTATGACTACGCTGAATCCATACTTGGACAGTTAGTGAGACCAGCAAGGTATGATGAATACCCATTTGTCGTACCTCTTATAACCACAGATCACGAAACTCCAGCACAAGATTTTATTACATGTACGGGGAATTTCATTACAAATTACTTCCTCGTAACGACCGAGCATTGTATCTATAACCATCAGTTTAATCATTTTCGAATATACATGGGGAGATACAATTTACACTTCAATGTAGAATTACATCCAATCTGGTTGATAACCTACGATCAATGGGCTACAGTTCATAATATACCAATTGAGCATGTGAGCAACGACATTGGATTGGTTAAAGTAAGTTTTTCTTCAACAAATAAATCACCAATTTTTTGTAGACACTCACAATCATTCGTATAATCATAACTTACGATTATCAAAATATAGGTTTTTAACAATTTACCGTATCTTTTGCCCACAACTAATTTATCACCGATAACACCACAAAGACAACTAATTGGCTCGACTACTAAAATACTAGGATGGGGTAACAGTAATACAATACCAAGCATAAGAAGTGTCCTGTACGTAGGAAATGTGACTATTTTACCACCCGCGGAATGCAATCGACGAACTATAAGCATACAAGAAAGACCCGTTTCGATACCGCCAACATATTTCTGCACCTCGGCTAGCCCTCATATAATAATAACATCTGTAAGTATCAAGAACATTCCCGTTCATCAAAGCCATGTTGTTCGATACTTGGCTATACTTGGCTATTGCCAAGCTTCCCCAAAGCCATTTGTTTATGTATAAGAAAGAAAAAAAAAAACTCTCAATTATTTACGTGATTGTCAAAGATTTTTATCATTGTAAAGTTAAGTAAATTTGAATATTTTAGCTTCTCGAATCATTGCAAAGTTAATATCATCAATGTTTGCTTTCGTTATAGAGTTCCACGATATTCCAAGTAACAACTGCCTTATGCACTATGAAATTTCAAATGGCAATTTTTTTGTCATTAGGTTTACAAAGGGAATGAAACTTATCCTCGCTATTGGAAAAAACCTTAAAACCTAAATTATTATCCATCTGCTTGAATATTTATCGAATGTTTAATGTTCCTAAAAATTATATCCGTACATTCAAAATCTTCGCGATAGGATTATCGCGGCTATCGTAAACAAATTACTCAGTTTACTAGTTTACTAATAAAACATATTATAAAAATTCTTATCTTTACAAAATTTTTGCTTCTATCAAATTCAAAATTAAAAGGAAACACGAATAAAATTTTTATAATATTATATTTTCATGTGTTTTTGTGATAATTTTATGAGACATGAACTTGAGTAACATGAAAAAAGAATTTTTTTAAAAACTAAAAAAAGATAACGATTGAATAGAAGTGTTTAATGAATCGTATTTAAAAAAAAAAAAAAAAAAGAAAAAAAAGAAGGATCGTCGTATCTTTAATTCGCTACTAATTTTAATGTATGGAGATAAAAAATTAATACCTATTTTCCTATATTTATGAATTCCCTTTTATCTAATAATTTTAAACATTTTTCTATTCTCCTATCTCATAGCCTACATATACGGATATAAACATATTCTATTGAATAAATAAAAAAACTAAAAAAAAAAAATAAAATAATATGATAATTAATATAATATCTTTTGAATATTTGAAATATATTAATTTTGTATATTCTGCAGGGTGACAGTGGCGGTCCACTTCTTTACGAAGGTAAGCTTATAGCAATTAGTGTGGGGGCATGTCCTACGGAGCGTGGAAATTACTTGAATTCTTTTAGTGTAAATCTTCACATTGGTATCGATTACTACAGATTGTTCATTTCTACAGTAACAGGAGCAACTGCATAAAAAGAAAGCTGTATTCGCTAAAATAAAATTACTTATTTTTTAATATCGTAGAATTTTTAATATTATATTACAATTAATATAATCTTTTAGTGCGCTTGAAAATGAAAGCCCATTAGCTAATATTTTCAGATCTTAATAAAATGGAATTAAGAATTCCTTTCATTGTTGTAGTATTGATAACTCTATAGTTTGAAATAATATTTTTACTCGATAACAGTTGCTTTAATTATCGATGCGACGCGATCATTAATTAATTAACGAGATAATCGACAAGTGCAAATATAAAATCAGGCGTAAGTGATAATTACTTACCTAAGGATTGAAAGGAATTACGATTGTATTGGCTGTTCTTTTGTTTGCGAGAATTAATATCTTTCCTGGTACACTATGCAATGTTTATTGCAATTAACAATAATAATATGTAAAACTATGATCTTAGATTTTCGAAATTGTTTTATATTTAGTTATTGCTAATGGGATTGGGATATTATAAATATATATATATATATATATATATATGTATGTATACTTATAGGAGACCAATAGTCTCCAATTTTACTGTGATAATACGGTGGTAGAACAATTTGTTCTAGCAACTTTATTGTTATTGCTCTTATAGGTATTACATCTTATAATGTTTATTATTTATTTTCGAAACACGTTGAAATGCAGACATTCGAACGTACAGTTTCCATTGTTAATTTACCGAAGGTATGAAGGAAAGCTATTATTATTAGATTTTTGTTAAAAGCAAATAAATGAGTATGAAAAATGTTTGCATAACAACTGTATTTAGGCTCATTTTATTTAATTTTTTTCAGCCATGAGATTAAATACGCTTTTCCTTAATTAGCGCGTAGATCGAAACAATAGTTTACGTATTAACGCCACCAAAGTTCCTTAAATTCATTAAATTTATATAAAAAGTTTTAATTGTTAATTCCATGCGTATAAGCGAATTAATTATTCGTTATAACGTTGATATAACACTTTTTGCGCTTCTTATGAAAATTACATTATGCAAACTTATTTAAGATAAAAGTTTCCGCTGTACGTATTCCAATGTATTTGCTTAAAAGTTTCGCTTTTGAGAAAATTTTTCGTCAATTATAATAATGTAGAGGCCATTATTATTGTTAAGACTTACCATATCTGGTTAAATAATCGTCTACGCAGTCGATAGTATTTACTTCTAAAAAGGTTAAGAAATGTATATTGATAAATGGATATGTAATTATGATAGTCGTAATTATATTTCCATTTTGCAAAAAAAAAGAAAAAATTCTAATTACAAATTTAGATTTATTCCAAATATTCAAAAAACATAGGTAGATATTTAAGTAATCCGCTTTAAGAAATGCCATTCAATAACTAATATTTAACGACAAGAGTGTGGTAGCATTGCTGAAACTAGAAATAACAAGCCGAATGACAATGCACGTCGTCTACTTTGACTTTTTTCTTCTCGGCAATTTGCTTCCTAGCGCATTAAAAAATAATTTGTAAATAATTAATAATAATGATACGATTGGCTACCATCTTTGTAGATTTATTTCCATATATTAGGTGAATGCTGAAGAAAAGGCTAACTATAGCTATTGAGATATAGACCATTGATCATTAGATCTCCAAGTTACCGAGAATAAGGAATTATGGTATTGTCCCATAAATATTAATACTTAATAAAGTCATTACTTTTGTATATTCTATAAATCTGATATCTTTTTTTATCAATCATTATAAGTGTCTTTCCTATTTGAATTCCTCGCGCTTGGTCGTAGTTTAAAAAAAAAATACTCGGAGTTTAATATAAAATATAATGTGCTGAATGTGAGATAATAAATGTGCATTCAAGTGAGGTATTTGCCTGACGAGGATAGAGAAAAAATAATTACATGTATTAATAGTACGCGCAATGCACAGTTTCTTTAATTTGTTCGTACAACATTTTCAGACGATTTTCAGATTATTTTCAAAACTTACTCTATGAAAAATGAAATAAGAAAACTAGTGGCCAATATTGCTTTATCGGACTTGATAAATATATGTTGATGAATCAACTTGAGTAATTAACAAGTGCTATTAGTGCTAACATATATTGTTCCGATTGTTTCTTTCGTTTGTTATCTAAATACAGTTTCTATAATCGAATTTTAAATCTCAACCATATAATCATTGGGCCATCAATTTCAATACAATGTGTTGGTGATATATATATATATATATATATATATATAATCAATATTGTTTTTCTTATAATATATTTACGACTACAAACATTGTTAAATTTGTATATACAATTGTCATTACAATATTTGGCAAATTTTTAAAGTGTTGTTAGTTTTAATTTATCATAATGTTTCATTTGTCCTTTTCTTTTTTTTATAATCGATCGATTATTTATTCAGTCATGCCATATAGATTAAATTAAAATACTTATAGTGTATCGATACTTAACCGATTTACAATCTTAATTCATTAAAATTATACAAAATAAAAGAATATGATTTATTTACTTGTAAAAATAATTTGTATAAAGAAAAACGACAAAATTACGAATATTTGAAAAATATTAAGATTTATCTTGGAAATTCTACGGTAATCATTGGATATTTTTTAAACTACTAAGTATATTATTGGTCATAATTATGATTATATAACTCTCATATATTAATCAGTAAATTCTTCAGCTTTCTGTATGAGTCTTACCGATCGGTTTACAACTTTTGAAAATTATTCTAAATTTGTGTTACTGTAAAAGAGCAAATGAAGTATCATTTAAAATTTAACTATTTAACGTATTAAAACTTTGCATATATGTTTTATTTGCCGAATATATATATATATATATATATATATATATATATATTATAAGTAAATTACGTTCAACTCAAACTATCATTATATTACATAATTCTAATGCATAGATAGCAGAAAACCACTATTCTTAATTTAAACAAATAAAATAAAATTATTACTTTTTTTTTTTTTTTTTTTTTTTTTTTTTTTTTTTTATTAATTAATTTATTATTTTAGCTGACATATCGTAAATCTTTTGCTTTAATCTTAGAATAAACGAAGAAATATAATTATAGTCATTTTTATGAGCAAACAGTTGCACGAAGATGTTGTTGGGTAAGCTTGTGGAATATAATACGTAATCTTATTAGTCATAATATTCTATTTGTCTGTACTTGAACATGAATTTTACGTCTACAAAACTATATTGAATCAGCACAGTGTTTAATTGAAACTTTATGAGATAAGGAAATATAGCAGAAGAACACACACACAAACACCTAGCTTTGTGCTAAAAAAACTAATTCTTATATACATACTTTCCAGTTCATTTTTGTATTATATGTTACGAAATAATTTCAGAATTTTAATACTTATTAAAAATTTTCATAATATGGAAATATAAATTATAATTATTAAAAAAAAAGAAGAAAAAAAGTGTTTACTCAATTTTATAAGTAAATGTTAGTCTAATACTGGTTTAAATTAAAAGCGTAACAATAAAAAAATGTTAATCTGTTGGAAGTAATTTATAAACATGAATTTAATTAAGTTTTAACGTAGCAGTATTCAACGAATTTATTCTATGTGTGTAATTATATTCTTGAAAATTAACTTTTATAAAAATCTGCATAAGCATTTGATTTGGATGAATTTTATTAATTCAAATGTGTTTTATGTTAGTTTTCGCTTTCAATTGAATGCTAAATTACAATTTTAATTCAAATGAAATTTAATTCTATTCTCTATCAATTGGAAATATCGAATTTCCTTCCACTAATGTTCAAGTATTTTTAATTGACATGAGAAAGATTCAAATATTTTCATGTAACATACCCAATTACTGATTTTATCATTACATTATTCAACAAATTAATGTAAAATTATTAACATAATTTTAAACCGTAATCATTTTTTTTTTTTTTTTTTTTTTGGTTTTTGTTTTATTAACAATAAACAGATAATTATGCATAAATTTGATATTCCATATGGACTAACTATAAACAGCTTAACTAATTAATTATAAATAGAATATTATTCTTTGGATAATTATCGCTTGCCAAATGGTAATAAAACTTTTATTATAATTAAAGTTATAGAAACATATTTATTACTATTAAGATAATTTAGAAGAATTTTCATGCAAATCCTATCACAGGCTGTTGCAAAAAGTGTAATTTTGTCATCGTCGAAAAAAAATCACAAGTGCTCGTACATTCGCTGGCTTAGCTCAATAAAATCGCTACTTGTTCTGCATATCCATGTGATCAGACTCGCTTATTTAAAGAGCAGCGTAAAGATAATAATAGCATTATCAAAATTTTATATCGCAGCCGTTCGAAAGCCTTATTTGCATAAATAAAAAATTATATTCTAACTCTTTATTTGACGTTTACTCAAGCCTGTCTGATTAATAACGAATAAGATATTCAATGTTATATGTACGATTTTTCTAATCGTAATCCAACTATCAACATGAATGTATTTGCGTAAATGAATATCGCGAGTGTCGCGTGTATCGCATTAGATCACCGGGCATCAATCACGGAGATCACTGAGAAATCATGAACTCTCGGAGCGATTTTTCCTTTTAAAGGAACTCCACGATAATTTCATAAACAAGCAATCAAGTGTATTAAAAGTCATCGCTTGCCCTTTACATTTATATCCATTTACAATCAATAACCATTATTTCTTCTCGTTTGAATTTTTGAAAATGCTAATGAAAATAGCTTTACGCATGACAATTGTTATTGATGACAAGATTATTGACTGCTAATCATACCGTCTGATCGATTATTCTTCATTCCATTATTATTTAGTATATGCCGCGTGTTAGACTGTAATTGCATAAAGCAGAAAACAACAAGAGAAATGCAAAATTCCTTTCATAATGTATATATGAGAAATAGGGAGAAAAATATTTAATTTCAGTATGCTTTCACTTATATTAATGTATGATAACGTTGGTTTAGAGATTCTTTTTTTTTTTTTTTTTTTTTTTTTTTTTTTTTTTTTTTTTTTTTTATTCAAAATATTATCCATGATATTTTATAGAGACTTTATCGAAAACAATAAATAATGGAAACATGGAAACATGGAAACATATATGTAAATTCTTAATTGTTAATTTAATGCGGATGTTATTTTAAAATTGTTATTTTAAAACAATTATTTTATCAACAATTTAGCTGATGCAAATGAAACAACATTATTTATCAAGAACTGCTAATGAACGAATACAATATGGTCTCGTCTTTCGTTAAAAGAAAAAGTTTAAAAAAAAAACACGTACTTAACGAATATGTATAAATGAACTGATGAATTATCGTTAAAAAAACAAAAAAAGAAAAAAAACAATTTCTTTTTAGTTTAATAAGTGAATGTTATGAATAATTTGACAAAACTCAGATTGTAAATATTATAAATTGCCAACTAAAATTAAAAGCGCACTCACATCAGCAATATCTTATTATAAAAAGTAATGATTCATTTGAAATGATTTCTGCTTGTTAACAATGTAGAAAACCTTACTGACATCTCCTAACGTATAACTTTTAAGAAATTAAAAATAGTTTGATACGATAACAGTGCAATAATTTGTAACTTACTTTAATGTTTTATTCATATAAATGGATTTAAACGTCAAGGTGTATTGTAATTTGAATTGAATGCTTCAATTGAAAATCAATATAATAGTATAAATCTTGTAATACTTTGAAACAATCGCAAGCATTAACTTCAATTTCACATTATTTGAATTTTCTAGACAATAATATCAAAAATCTACAATGTGGAGAAGATTTTAGAGAGAGAGAGAGAGAGAGAAAAGTAATTGAAAAATACTAAATTACACGCTAAAATATACTTAAAAAATTATCATAAAAAAAAAAAAACAAAACAAAATAAACAAATAAAAATAATAGTTTTTTCAAGTAATTTTCATAATTAAACAGAGAATCTGAAATATCCTGGCATTCGACAATTAAAGAGCTTTCGCAACGAGGCACAATGGCAAACAGCATCTACCGTCTTTTAATAAAAAAATATTTTATAAAAGATTCGAGTGCCGGCTAATCGCTAGAGTAGATGGAATTGAATAATTGTTGAAGGGGAATACGGTTTTATGCGCGCGGGTGCGTGTGCGCGCGCATGTACACACACGCACGCACGCACGTACGCGCGCACGCATGCATATATATATATATATGCGTGTGCGCGCGCATGTACACACACGCACGCACGCACGTACGCACGCACGCATGCATATATATATATATATATATATATATAGATGGGTGCGCATGCGCGCTTGTGCATGAGTGCACGAGCGTACGAGCGGATGAATGCATGAGTGCATGAGTGCATGAGTGCATGAGTGCATGAATGTATGATTGCATGAGTGCATGAGTGCATGAGCGCACATGCGTGTGTGTGCGCGTGTGCATACATTTGCGCGCGCGCGCGCGCGCATATGCATTTATGAATAGGCAAGCGTGCGTGCGTGTGCATTGCGAGAGCGGGCGAAAGTAAGCGGGAATGAGATAAATGACGGCGCGCTCACGGGGCGGGGGGCTGGGAGCTGGGAAGACTGACAGACTGGGTGAGAGTGAGAGAGCGTGCGAGGGAGATGGAGCGGTGCGGCGCAGAGTGCAAATTCGTTTGTGACTGCGGGGAGGTTGTAAGGGTAGAGAGAGACTCTCCCCACATACGTACGATGTATTAAACTAACAAGCCGCAAGCAACGCTCGTATTAACGAGCGCCCTTGCACACGCGCGCACACACGGACACGCGCGCGCACTCAGATAGGTCGTAAGGATCGTTCGTAATTGCAACGGTAGTAGGAGTGGACAGTCTTCTTTCTCTTCACGTTTCTCCTTGACTCGGTAAGGGCGGAAAAGACGTATCGGCTATGCGGCCGAAACACAGTGCAGAGTGCCCCGATAAATTCTACGTTGATTTTAGAAATTCAGGAGGTTCGCAGCTTTCCGCGATTCCCATCTCTCGTCTATGATGACGACAGGCGACAACAACTAGCGGCGTATGTATCGCGTTAGGCGAAACTGCAGTGCTCAGTATTAGTAACGAGTCGGCATCTCGGCTTGCGTTTATTAATATTTGTTCTAGTCAATAAAATTCGATTATGATAAAGAGCGGCGGTGAGAAAAAAAGCATCGTGGCATTGGCTTTACGATAGTCTTTATTGAACAGTCCGGAAGAGCAGTTCTCTGTTATCAACATTGGGATTGAATGAGACGGAAAAGACTTATTTATCAATTAGTAATCTGGCTGTTTTTCAATCGTATTATCAGTTAGCGCATTAGGCGAGGCTTAATATGAGCACGTAAAATAGATGAAATTCACTCATTGTTATTGGTGATTGTTGAATAGTTAAATTCGTTGCCAATAATTAACATTGAATGATAAACAATGACTTCATCTTTCTTATTTGAGATAATTGTCGTAGCGTTTATACTCTTACTGCCTTTTTTGTATGAAACTAGTAGGACATTTCGTTATTATTTCAAATTTCTTATGTATTATGGCACAGTTATGATGAATTCTGTGATACTCATACCAGTTATGATGTTGCGTCCTCGTAATGTGAAAAATTTATTGTAAGTATGCGTTTTAAATTGATATTGTGTTATGCTAGATAATCCATGGACGTAATTGCATTGAAATTTCTTATCTTTAGATTAGCATCTTCGATGTGTCATCACACGAGCAACTTATTAGGATTACGATGGCAAATCAGGGGCCGCGAGCATTTGGAAAAGGAGCGCTCTTACGTTATAGTAGCTAATCATCAAAGTTCCTTGGACATATTAGGAATGTTCGACCTTTGGCCCGTAATGGATAAGTGTACGGTAGTGGCGAAGAAAGAAATTTTTTACGCTTGGCCTTTTGGACTGGCAGCTTGGTTGTGCGGACTTATTTTCATTGACAGAATGAATTCTGAAAAGGCTAGAACCATCATTAACACAGCGGTCAAATATTTAAAAAAAAAAAAGGTTATTTGAATTAGCGTTTGAAATTACTTTAATAGTAGAGACTGTAATAATGCGAAGGGATGGCTTAAATCAGATTTACAAATTATTCAATTATTTAATGTACGAACGATGCTTTTTACTAGATAAAGCTGTGGATATTTCCGGAAGGTACAAGGAGAAATACCGGTGAAATTCACTCTTTTAAAAAGGGTGCCTTTCACGTTGCCATTAATGCTCAATTACCAATATTACCCGTAGTATATTCCTCTTACTATTTTATGTCTAAGTCGGAGAAACGCTTGGATTCTGGTACAATTTTTACCCTATCTCCCAATGCCTAATTACTTTTAGTTCAATATATTCTGAAATTTCTTTCAGGACGTGTAATAATTACTGCATTACCTCCTATTTCGACCGAAGGATTAGAAGTTAAGGATGTTCCCGATTTAATGGAGAAAACTAGATCATTAATGACGCAAGCTTTTCACTCGACAAATCGAGAAATACAATTATCGTTGGCATCCAAAAAACAAAATGTACGGTAGAATATAATAGATTAGCGCAGCTTTGGCTTGCTGGTAACGATACACGAAAGCAGTAGCTAATATTATTCAGATTTATACTATTTTTTAAATTTCAATAGCCTATCGTTTAAAAAACAAAAATTAATGTTAATTGAATTGCTCTTTATACGCATGAATAATTTAAATACATTGAAGGAATAATATTGAAAAAGAAAATAATAAAAATCCATATGGATCGGTACAATTTGAAATAATTTATTTTAAAATACAAAATACAATAATTCATGACATTTTACTAATACGATTATCTTTATGTAGTAACACCTTAAACACTAAGATTATAAAATTCATAAGCTTAAAGAAAAATGATTTCATTGATTATAAGTCTTTCTTTTTTTTTTCCATTGTTCTCCATTCGCATCAAATTATTTATTAGTTTTGCCATTTTTGCCTCTTAAGTAGATTTCGATAAAAGTATGTATTTTAAAATAATTATTAAATAAAAGTGCCCTATTTTACATGTTTACATTCAATCGTTTATTAATATTTTGACAGACTAACTTTCTTAAATTAGCTTCAGGATAGATTTTGATAAAAATTGATTTTAATTCCATTTCAATATTCTTCAGGTTATCGTTACCCGCATAAACCCAACTGAATAATTTGAAATACCACTTTTTCAGATAAAAGTCAATCTGATTTTCTATATTGTTAAACTATTTTAATAAAACGAAACTGGAGGATACATTTTTTGTATATATCAGAGCTAGCCAATAACTACGAATAATTATGATAAATTATAATATATGTATATTTGCACAAACCGAATGGCTTATTGTAAAAATTTGATAATGTAAATTATTTAAGAATGAAAATAAGTTGAAAAGTGTAATACTTCCAGTTTCATATTAATTTTAACAAATGGTAAAAAAAAATTGTGATTGAATGTAGATTTTTTTCTATCTTTTAAGTATTGTCACTGATATTTCAGAGAAACCAAAGATATAAATAATCAAAAATCATCAATGATATTTTTTAAAATTATAAATTATTTTTACTTTAGTCATAAATTAATCGTTCGAATTAATTTTATATCGTAGAAGATGAGATATTAATGTACAGCTATTCTCAATCACTGTTAAGTAGTTGCTTTTTTTTTTTTATATGTTTATTATTAAGTTGCTGTCGCCTAAAGTACATTTTTGCGTACATATTAGTTTGCGAGATTGCCTTTTTTCCAGAGTGCCAAGCTTTTATATCTCAAATGTCTACATTCCATTTATTAGTGCTTTATTTTATTTATTCTAATCAAGATTTAGAGATTTGTATTAATAAAATATTCAGTATACACGAAAAGAAATAAGTATGAAAAATAAGACTTTCGCATGAATAAGACATGTTTTATCCAATATTGTATTGATAAATAAAAATTTCATTGTATTTGAAAAAAATCTGTTTTTCTTTACATAATATCCATTTACATAATAAAATTAACAAATTCATTCACTTTATATTTTATAAATCAAGTGATAAATAATACTTATGGCAATTATCATTTACATGTCACTTAAATTTGCTGCACCCATCTCTCTTTTTTCTTGACTTTCTGTCCATGCTTTAGCGATAGTTTTTTTCATGTCGTCGTCTCCGTCTTGATACATTTTCTTCATTAAATTCATTAAACTGGCATTGGGATCGTCGGTATCGTTAATGTTTGGAGTAGCAGTTTTAGATTCTTTCAATCGCTTTTCGACGCTTGTAATACAGGACCATGACTTTGAGGATGTTTTGGCAAGGAAAACCACAATAAAATCTGTTTTTATTTTAACGTAACTCTTGGTCGCATTAATGTTTTCGCACAGATTATTAATTGTCAATTCGTAATTCTTATTCTTAAGTCCTTGAACGTGCAAGTCCATAGATCGTTCCAAGAAATTGCAAAATACAGCCTCTTTCGGTAGGGTCTGAACGTCGCTCAAATTGACATATAATTTAATAAAATCGGACGTTTGATCCCAGGCATAATTATTTAGTTTGATGTCATAACATTTAGATAAGGAATTAGAGGGCTTCGTTACTTTAGACTGCTCTCGATCCACGCTGGTTTGATTTTGAATATTGACTAACTCGGTTTGTAATCTTCTTATTTCGAGGCCTAAAATATCTTTCGATTTTTGACGCGAAGCACGATCTAATAACGAAGTCAGATCATCGATGTCCAATTTAATCTACAAAAGAACGTTAAATCTTTGTTACACTAAAGAATGAAAAAATGATAATAGTAATAACCAGCAAAAGACTTGACTATAAAGAGAATTAACAATTTTAATGATCGTTTAATCCTTCTGTTCTTTTCTCATTAATTATTATTTCTTTTATTCATTCACGCCGTTACTTTTCGTCCAATAATGCAATAAATAATAATAGCGCGAAACAAATAACAAATAATATCAATAGATGTAATAATAATAATGACGGAATAAAAATTATCCGGCTCGAAAATTGTAATATTTTATAAATATTTATAATTAATCAGTGTATAAGAACGTACCTCATTAATACGTGTTAAGGACATGTTCTCCGATGTTTATTGCCTGGTAAAAATGATACCTCAAACGCCGCTCGATTTATTACGTTGAAATTAAGTTTCAAACGGTCAGAAGATGAATAGCCTTTTCAAACAAATTTGCAATGTTATATTCCGACAGACTCTACTCTTATAATTCCAATCACCATCAGGTTTTAAACTGTGATGCTCAGCCGAAAGCAAGAGTATTTGATCAACGAAGAATTTTCTCGAAATTGCACCACCAACTTCTAGAATTGTTTCTGTTCCGTATTTCTTGTATTAATTCGAGATACTGTTTAGGGTTATACGGCGAATCTACAAGTTTCCTCTCGTACATCATACTCGGCGCTTTAAGGGTTGCGATTACATTCAATTCATGCCGACATTCTCGATTGTTTATCATAGCAATAAATTGCGAATTTTTGTTTACTTGCCAAATTGTATTACTTTCATTACTTCCCTTTCCCAAGCTTACAATCCTTACGCTCTTCAAATTTAAAAACATTTACAAGTATAATAAATAATAATCGTATTATTTCGTCATTTATAAAAGAATCCCCGTTATCTCGACGACAGCGATTATGCATTATTTTTAATATATATATATATATATATATATGAAAAATATCTTCCTTCCCTTCCCTTTCAAAAAACCTTATCTATTGAATTGAATTTTTATTCATTCGAATTCAAATGCTATACATATATATATATATATATATATATATATATATGCTAAAAACATCATGAAAAGCGCTGTAAACCATAAAGTTCGACAGATGACAATTTTACGTAGGTACGAATGCCAATATATTACCTAGGTATAACGAAATTTAGGTTCCGATCAAATCATCGACGTTAAATTTTCTATTGTTTTAAATTCAAAACTCGTGCCAATACGCAGGAGAAAAATTACCGTCCCAAAATCACTATCGACATGGCGGAATAAACTGTATATGTTGAAAAAATCGCATGCGCCATGCTAACTCTTCAATATTATCGACCTCGCATCCTGCATACGATAATATTAACTCAATATTATTAGACTAATAGTGGGCTTGCGTGCGTATGTGTACGCGCGCGCGCGCGCGCGAACACGCGGGCTTAGATCAATAAACTTACCGATGCATTATAAAAGCAGATGATTTTTTTTTCAATTAATTTTATCAATTTACGATTAATAATGACTTTTGACGACTTGTAGTAAGCATTACATTTATAGATGTTGATGCCATTAATTTAAATGATTAATTACATTCTACGTGTTCAATGTAGTATTGAAGCGTCATTGCAATTCTTACTTTTTAGAAAGATTTTTAGAAATTTTTCAATTTTAATTTTATTATTAATATCTAACTCAGCTCTATTAATAACTAATAAACGTGAATGGGGCTAAAGTTATAATATTTAACCAAGTGCCATTTGAATTACAACAATATTGTGAGCATTAAAATAATTTTTTGAAACTGATGTGTTTGCTTATATAATAAAGCCATATTTCAGAAGCCATGATTTATTTTGTATTTATTTGCATTTGATCGTATAGATTGATTAGAATTTGCTTAAGAGGGCAAATCTCGCATATGGAAGGAATGCGAGGAAACGAATTTCGAGAAAACTGACACGTAGCCAACAAAAAGAATGCGGAAATTTGAAAAATTCCCGATCTTAGGATAATAAATTTTAACAATTAAGTTTGATATAATAGTCAGGGATGCCAAGTACTGAAAAAAAAAAAAAAAAAAAAAAATAAATAAATAAAAAAAAGTACGATCTAGCAAATTACACAATTACGTTTCATTCGACTTTACTACTTTTCGGTTCATTCGATTTATTCTCCATTTTAAGTCGACCAAGTAGCGTTGTTACACTTTCGTATTTAAATTGTATAACATAGTTCTACATCAGAAAAAAAACATTCAAACAATCCCAATAACCGCGTCTTACGATGTTTCATTACAAATGATGAATGTACGATGATGTAAACAAATAAATATAAGCCTTTTTGCGTGTATTTTGTGACTGTTACTTTTATAATGGAAAAGGAAGCTGATAATCCAGAGACAGCGGCAGTCGAAAATTCTCCAACGGATAATAAAACGAATAAACGGAGATCCTTAGTTTTTAAGAGACGATCAATTTTATACGAACAAGGTTTGATACTTGCACTTATCAATATTTTTTTTAAATTAAATATCGGTAATATACTGTTCGATAATTCATACTGATGGCTATAAAAATTAATGATAATTTCTGCAATGCTATAGATTTGGAAAACGTTGGTGAAACTGGTGTAGTCCACGAAGCGAAGAAATTGAAATTCGAAGACGTAAATCAGTTTGACATTAAAAAATATATAGAAACTTTGAATGAAGAAGACAGAAAGTGGCGAGAGGTTTACGCAAAGAGAAAATCTCGCGTACAGGATTTAATAAAACATAATAAACATAAAGAACAAGCTGGACAGATATTAGATATTAATTTTTTATCTGATCATCAAAGAGCATTTTTAGCATTAAAACCTGATTATAAAGAATTTAATAAGAATGTTTTTCAACTACAAGCGATAGCGACGAAAGTGATGTTTTTAAATATATGTTCTAAACATTTTTACGAAAGTGTAATAACGACATTACAAGAGGATACAAATAATATTATGCATCGCATCTTTAATCTCATAGATTAACATCATATAATAAAAGACCAATTAATAAATAGTTTGCGCACAGATTGTATTATATTATAAATATCATGGTTGTGCCTTCAATTTTTATTTTATAATTTTATAAATATTATTTATAAATTAATACTAATATAAAATAAATATAATTTGGTTACGTTATAATAACTATTTTGCAATGGTTATTACTATCTTATATTAAACAGTTTTTAAGAATTTAACGATAACAAATAGATACAGATGGACTGGTCATCTATGAATATGAAAACTCTTTCGTCTAGAAGCTTTACGTTCTTTTTGAGCGAGATACTCTTTCCTCGAGGAACTACTTCTTAATTCCAAAATATGATTTATTTTCTTAACAATTTCTTCGGCTATTGAAGATTCTGCTTCAAAATCATGATTTTTAAACGATGCCGAACGCCTAAGAGATTGAGTATGACCAATAGAGACTGTAACGAATACAAATTCATTTTAAACAAATTTTTTCACAATCTAATTATTGATAGAGATATTGATTAATGTTGATTACCATTCAATCCGTCCAGTGTTATTGAAGTATGTGGTGTATAAACTAATGTAAAAGTCGTCTTAGATCCTTTATTTTCTATTAATTCACACCATGCAATATTATCCATATGATAACTAACAGCCCTTTGCCTGTTCCAAAACCGACTTGCTCCCTTACCCGTTACAACAGGATCTATTTCTATTTTTTCACCAGATATTCCTAAATGTACTTCAGTTTTCGCTCTTACTTTATTTATTATGTAAACTCTGTAACAACAACAACAACAACAACAAAAACAATAACAACAACAACAACAACAATAATAATTGGTAGAGGTATGATGTATAAAACAAGAGATACCTATATAATTGATATAGAGGGGCTTCCATAGCAGTTGTATGGCCTTCCATTTTAGCAAGATCGTCGGCTACTTCTTGCGATTTGTCTAATCTCTCATGCTCTTCTTTATGTTCAGTTATAGTTCTTACAGTACTATGACGCGCTCTGTCACTTGCTTTCATTTCAACAAGACCCAAGGTCGTAAATTCAAATTTAGCGATTATCTCCGCGGGATCTAAACAAGGAAAGTCGGAATCGACTTCGCCATCGTCTTCCGTGATATATAACCCATATTTGTTAATATCTTCTCTAGAATTCATTTTATAAATATAATATCCAGCAATATCAAACATTTATATTTATTATTAATAAAACTATTTACTGAATATGTTGATCAGGATGTTCGCTAATATATTTATAACATATAAGTCCTATAAATTCCTGAACCTTAGCATTGGCAAGTACGACAACCTGTAGAGGATACGATCTTTGATCTTTTGGTAACATGCACATAAATATCCTATATTTTCTAATAGGAGTTCCTATTTGCGCCTATATAAAAGAGAAAAATAATTAAACCATACAGAATTATAATGTATATACATGTATATATAAAATTATTAATTCGATTGTATTACTAACATTGCCATCGAATCTTGCATAATCAAGAAATGGATTTTCCGGAAGGTCGGGACAATTTTCTAATTGTTCGGAAAATAATGATCGCTTCTTTATAGCTTGCCTATTTTGCGTTAAATTTTTACTCTTAAATAATT